AGATCATCCCTGTAACCACTGCCTGCACTAAGTCACCTCCAGTGTCAGCAGGGCAAAAAATTTACGGGTAAACTCATATCATTTAACAGGTGATACCTGCCTTAGCACTAAAAAATATATGATGAGTTCCCCAGAGAATGTTTTTAACGCTGATACAGAGAAACTGGGATGGATCGGAGCGGTGCTGATTGTAGATTAAACATACTTGCTATAATACATAAAAAAAGTAGTCACCTACGACTATAATCAGGGTTCATTTCCAATTCTGGATTAAATCTCTATTCTGGTAGGAAGCTATCAGATTTCAGGTGATATTTTGTTAGGATTTTGGATGTTTTTTCAAAACTAAGAGTATTCTGGTGATATTAATCTCCGTTTTTATGGAAACGTTCTGAATGTTTTATTTTTGTTTCGATTATCTGATTCAGGGGTGAATTTAAGATTACAAGTGTATATTTTTTGTGGTAAATATTTTTTCTCAATTTTAAATTTATTCAAATACAAAACATCTTACATTTACTTTATATGTGTCAAGGAAAATGACAACTTTTTCACTTTAATTTGAAAATTCATCAACAAAAAAAATGTTTATGCATAAAAAGTTTTTTTTCTTGGTTTTTCAGTTACTCTCCATGAAGCCATTTATATTTAAATCTTTTGAAGTTGGCTTTGACTTTTAGCCTTTCCCATCAGTCTGCAGTTACGCTTGTAATTAATATGTTAGCCCAAAAGAACTCTTAATTGAGGAGATAATGATGTTTCTGACAATTATTACTTTTATGGATTGACTCAACACAAAACTGAGCCCTGAGCTATCTGTGTGGGAGGCCATCAGTGTTCGGCTTCAGGGTCATATAGGTAAACAACAATATCTTTACAATGTACAGTACTTTAAGTGACCATCAGACACAGAATGGTGGACATCAGTGATCTACATGTAGCGTGTTAGTGGTATATGTGTCTATGTTTTTTACAACCTGCAGACTGACCTTTACTGTTTGTCCAGTAAAATAGTTATTGAGCCCTTTTAAGGACCATGGTGTATTACTTGGTTCATGGGCATGCTGACCACAGGGACTCTTAAAAAACAGCTCAAAATGGCCTTGTCAGTGTATGGACTGACCAATGGACATTAATGGCCTTTTCTGTCACCAATGGTCATTGTTGGTCAGTAGGTGTTGATGTACAGCTACCCAGACCCATAAATAAAACAAATTGACCACTGGTCAACCGAATGTCTATTTCCAGGCTCTGTTTGTTTTACCTATAATACACCTGTTAGGTGATGGTACTGTGTATGTCTACCATCTGTCTGTCATACAGGTATAATTACAGTTTGCTTATATGCACTTCCATGTACATATATGGTAAACAAGCATTAGACACCTGCTTTAGATTTTTTTGGGTGTTATCATATCACAAGCTCTGCATCACATGCAGTTCTTGATGGCATATGGCCTCCTTTTCATAAAAGAATGGAAATGATTCATTCTTTAGTGTTTTTCATTGAAATTTCCCTTGAAAGTTTGCCAAAATATCATTGAAAGATATGATCATGGAAAAAATTGTCGTGAGGTTGTATTGATGATATGAAATTTTGCTGAAAACGAAAATCTGTGAAGTCAACTTCCCAACTGCTACACTTGGATATAGATACCCTTTACATATTCATACAGTATGCGGAATGGATAAAATTCTCAAGCTGACAAAAAAATTCTCAAGCTTACAAAAAGCGAACAAATTTTGAAGCATATTTTCAAATATGAGATGTGAAATCCAGAGACAAGAAAGTGGATTGTGTTTGATATTTTCTGGAAGACCTTTCATTTTGGATATTACTACATTTTTTGATTTCATATTACAAGTAAGTACCATGTTTACTTAGCAAAGTCTGTCCAGCTCACCTGATTTGATAGATATAGTTGCCATTTATCATATTACATACTCAGGTTGTAGTAAATGCTTTGGTTATATAAACCAATTGCTGTTTCTTTCTTTTTGTACTTGCTAAAAAACAATTCCAAAACAATTATTGAATGTAAAAATTATAAGAATATTGAAGTTTCAAATACTACAAAAAATATAATTGAAATTCTTACAGGAATTTTAAAGAAGTTTTTCTGATATATACAAAATTAGGGTGAAAGAAATTTAATTAAATTCCAGTGATCACTTTGATAACTACAATAGTAATTCAATGGCTTAAACAGTGAAGTATTGAGGTCAAAGGTCAATGGAAAGTTGTAGATGCGACTTGGACTCCATGTTGAAAAATCATTAAATGGAAGATAATGTTCTCTGTCTGACAATAAATTACAGTAGGCGAATCAGATCTTAGCGAATCAGATCTTAGCGAGTTCTTTATGGGATAGAAGGAGGACATGTAAACATGCCCTGCTGTATACAGCCTAGCTGTCACATAAACTAGGATAGCCTACCATATGTATCACTCTTACCAACCACATCATGTCAAGATTGGACAGATTATGAGGGAATTTAACTGAATCAACAGAATGAAAAGTAATTTTTTTTACCCTGAATGGTCATTTAAACAACTGGAGGTGAAAAAATATGTACTATTGATAGATGTACAGATTGGCTCATGTTTGCATTGGCAGCCATTTGTACAGGTTAAAATGTGAAAGAGTGCTTTGTTATTTCTCTACAAGATTACACTGAATAATACAAAATTCTTCTAAAATTTAAACAATATCTGTATATATACTCTAGCTTCAGTGTTAATCCAGATCACTAGAGACCGTTTAACTGTAAGCCATATGATGCCATAGGCAACACAATGATAATTTTCTGTGAAATTTCCATTTCTCATTAGTATATGTCTGCTCCCCAACCCTTAAGACATGTCCCAATATCACAGCTATAATGAAAACAGCCCAAAGTTTCTAAGGAATGATGTTGATGAAGATAATGGGTAATTTTTTGGGTTACTGTTATCTAATACAAATTTGGAGACATTTCACTGTATGAAGATTATACTGCCTTATTGTCGCTACTGTCACTAATATTATCTGTATTTGAAGTATAGACGATTGGACTGACACTTTAAGTTTCCACGGTTCAGCACAGGATGGGGCATTTCTCAGCTTACCAAAAACACAAACTGTGCCTCAAGTAATGATCATAGTACCACATTCTGCCAATCCGAAGATCAAATAATGTCATTAATGCTCTAAAAATTACAAATAAATTAGTTCATTCAAATTTTCCATTCATATGTTATTATAATGAAGTTTAATATCAATTAAGTCCAGAAGTATTTCTCAGTAGGCAAATAAATCATTGACACTAATTCACATGACCTCAGGAAATTTAAGGTCAATGAAAACGTAGTCCTTCATATACATGCCACAGGCTTTAAGTTAATATTCATAAAAGATCAAGAGTTTGTTTTGTTTCTTGTATGACCAGGAATTCACAGAGTAAGCACTGGACATAATGCGGCAGAATAATTTTAGTATTAAATTAATTTATTAGAGATAGTTCAATGAGGTGTGTCAAAGCATTTCACCAAACTGCATAACGAGTCGTCAATATACTCACGGAAAAACAAATATTTTCATACCAGGTTTTACATGTTTAATATGGAGTATAAATGGGGACAAAGATTTTGAAGTGTTGAATGTGTGGTGTTGATTATCAAAGTGAAAATAGTAAGTTGTTGGCCATGTTTATTTTTATACTATTGCCCTGAAGATTATCTCACACAGGTGATTCAAGGTGGGTTATTTTAATGAAGAAGAGAATTTGTTACCACACTATATAAATATTGTCTGACCACAGGCACTGACCGTGAAATGACCAGATCAACTGTGTGGTATGACACCATTCTATTTGTGGTGAGGTCATATCCTTTATAGGAGTCTATTAAGGTGAATGTACATACATCTTTTACAGATACCAGTTGTAAAATTATCTCCCTTGAAATTTTAATGAAAAATATAAATTATTTATTTCTTTTATTTTACAACAATTGTAAAACAAATGAGAGGTTATATTAATCACTGTAAACTCGGGTTGAAGTATGTGAGGGGTCTTACTGTAGATGAATCAAACCCATGTGGTCTGACATTTTCTTGTCTGATTCAAATCCCAGTCCCCAAGGTGAAAGGTGAGTGTGTTACCCCTGCACACCTCCTGACCACCTTTCTAATTAAATGATTTTGGAGTTTTTCAAAACACAAGATAAATTTTGAAAGGTGTTTAAACTATTATCACAATTAACAGAAGCTAATGGCTGTTGGCAATCTTTTTCATGGATTCCATGAGGGATTTCAGCTGCTTGTTAAGGATATTCTATTGTTCTCTGAATCCTTAAGATTCTCCTCTCCCTAATCTACCATATTAGTTGTAGAATCTACTTCTGACTATCATGAGAGTTTGTATCACTGCCTCAGATTTTTCAGGTCAAAGCAATATTTCCTAACTTCAGTTATTCTACTAGGTAAAAGTGCTTCTGTAGTAAACATTTCATCTGTAACTGGCAATTATGGAGTGGATTTAAGTACCCTTTAAATAAAAAAGGAGAGGGAGGGTGTTATAGGTCAACCTTGTGTCAGGTGTTGTGTAAACATGATGTAACAGGGAGAAACATCTACTGTGACTTGTTCACCAGAGCTTGATAAGATATGTCATGTAACTTCTAAAATGATATCAAATGCTTTAAGTTGTTCATTTTTTTCTATGGGTTTCTTGCCTTGATATGTTCTAAGGCTATGAATAACAGATAATAAAAACTTCCAAGGGTTTTTCAAACCATATTTGCCATATTTGTAATGAAAATTGCTGATTTTTTTTTTCAGTGAAAGCAGAATACAAACTTGAGTTATTTTCTTTTAAATTTTATCTTTTAGAGGGAGATAATTCTTTCACTATTCACCAATATGGTATAGAAAATAGCGTACACCCTTAACCACAAAAAATGTCATTGAATAATTGCACTTTGATCATTTATATTAATTTGTATTTTGCTTTGCTTGCAGGTTATGTGTTGACGGTTACTCAATACTGACCGGATGGTTTAGGACGAAGAGGTGGCATTAGACACTTACTTTGGATTATATGTGTTAGTAAGACATGTGCCCGTTACTGGTGAACACTGCTGTCCATTATGTGTGAGGTGGGGCACTTTGGCCCAACCTTGTCCAGTCTATTGGTACTGGTCATCTTGTGTATCTCCTGGTCAAATTCTACCCACCATCATGTCCAGTCTTTCCCCAGGGAGTTTGACTTCAGATACACTACCTATGGAGGTACAGTAGCTGTTATCATATGTCTCTTTCATTTTCTTTCTTTCCTTTTTACCTTTTAAATTCTCTTCATCCTTTTCTAATTAATGACTACATACACATACATATGTCTCTTTCATTTTCTTTCTTTCCTTTTTACCTTTTAAATTCTCTTCATCCTTTTCTAATTAATGACTACATACACATACATATGTCTCTTTCATTTTCTTTCTTTCCTTTTTACCTTTTAAATTCTCTTCATCCTTTTCTAATTAATGACTACATATGCCAACATTGTACTCTTATTTACAGTTCAGCTGTCTCTCAACCTATAGCATTCTCTATAAGAATGTTGACAACCCCATTTAACAACACATTCTGTTTGGAATACCTTTTTAGATAGAGCAGTATAGAGATATTCCTTATAGAGGTGGTCTTTATAAACAGGTTGTCTTCATAAACAGACTTTAAAGGGAGATGGTCTTTATTGACAGGTTTCAGTGTTATTGAACATACTTTTAGAAATCCCAGATATTTCAAGGATTTAGGCCATTAATGCCAGAATTAATTTGTACAGTCTGATTAAACAATTCATTTATCATTTTTCTACAAACATCTGATCTCACAGGAAGTGTGATGATGTTTTCTAAGCTTGTTTACATTCAAAGATTTATACTGTTGTAGGGTATTTTGAGAGTGAGAAAATCTAGGCAATGTTTTCAATCACAACGGATACAAAAAAGCACTACAGGATGGCAATTTGGTTTTAAAGTCACATTTGAGTGTCAAGAAGATTTGATGCCTGTGCAGTTTTTATTTTAAGAAAACACTCCCCAAGACATAAAAAAAACTTCTCGTTTTTGCATACATAAAACAGAAATAACTCCCTGAAGGTGTTAAGAAATTTACAAAAAAAGAAAAAAAAACCAAGGCTTAGATATTCATGGCATTCATGATGAAAGGTTAAAAAGAGCTATGTATAAAAATGAAAATGCTTCCCCAACATTTAACAACTGTAGCAGTGCACTCAACTGTTTTGGACGTTAAAGGTGTAATGTTTATGTGAGTGTCAAAAATTGAACACTAGCTGCCATCTCCTTTCAGATGTACAGCCCCTTCTTTTGGCCTTAATAATAGCAGGCTTGAAATTTTAATGACTGCACCAGGGCAATGGTGAAGGTTTGTTGGACAGGTGCAGAAAGCTTTACCTCGACACACAGCTAATTAGGGGTAAGCCTTACAATGCTAAAAGAACACACCTTTTTATCGTCTTGATTTACGGAATAAGTCTGCACAAGGTAAAACGAAAAAGGAAACATGCTTCTAAAGAAAACCTGATTCAGAAAATAATACCAAGCAATCCCCATGAGAAACGGTTTTGGATAGAACTGATTCAGAGAAGGAGATCTTCAAACTCAAAAGGATTGCTCGTTTTATAGAATCCATTCATTCAAAGAATGAGTACAAGAAAAACACCTTCGTCAGAACTGATTTAAGAGGCAGTTGTACATCTGACGTGTAATCAGTAGCCAGCTTACCAGTTTTGTGGGGTAAATCATCTTCACATCTTATAATAAATCTGTAAAAACATTTCAAAATGGCTCCTGTTGGCCAACATACCAAAGCTTGTTGGCTTTGCTCCGATAGAAACTACATAGAAATTCTTACAGGATGTCTAAGGTGGTTGGCAGACAGGTGTTCAAAAGTTCAAAATGGCTATGTGTACCTTTATCTATAGGCTAATAAAACTCATAAATAAAATACTGGCTTGCCTGTCTGTGGAAGGAAATATTTTAGGTATATCAGCTGGTTAAAATTTGCTAGCAAATAAAGTTGTATTGACCAGAAGCAACCACAGGATATTTTTTAACATATACATGTATTTGGTTGTTGAAAGTTTTGATATACAAAAAGAATTTTGTTGAAAGGTAAGGTATGTGATTTGACATATTACTTATGTCTGAATATGTTGAAACTTTCGATGCATAGAGATTTGTTGCGATAGTCTTGAAGACATCCATTTCAACATAAATTCCTGTCACACAGATTTGTGTTTTGCATCAAAGTTTAATATATTTTACTATCAGAAACATCCATTATGTCTAAACGGAGGAAGAATCATGTTAATTACCTAGATTAGATCAAGTTTGTTAACACAACGTACCAGTATATAGTGCTAAATGTAATTTCAAGGTACACTGCACTGTTTATTAATTGTTTATTTATCCGTCTTGTAAACACCTAAAAGTATTTTAAAAGGGAACAGAAATTAAATATTCAATTCTTTATTGTAGGTAGCCAAATTTTAGAAAGGGGAAAAAATGCTATGTTTTTCAATAACTTGTACTTTTCTGACAATGACAGTATTCTTTTCTGGAATAGGTAATGGACAAGTAAAGAAAGACAAGTATCATAAATTGATCAAACACATAAAAACCAAAGTTACTTGATGTGTGTGAGTGAGTTGAACAAAGCTCATTCATTGCTCTTTCTCAATATGAATGGTAAAGAGAACTTGTGGATCATTTATCTAAATCATGAAAAGAGAAATGTACATGTCTGCACCCTGAGTTATGTTAGGGTCATAGTAATTATTAGTCTGTGTATCAAATTTAAATTGTAGTGAAAAAAAAAATCTTTCAGATCCAGATGTGAAAGTTTAGGTTGAGGTCAGAGGTAAAAGATCAAGTTCAGATACTAGTTTATGGGTTTCACATATATGACAAGTAATACTATGCTTTACCATGTGATCAAGGTCAAGGTCAGTTGGTGGTTTAACATATTTGAAATGTATAATGAGAACTATTTTCTTAAATATGAGATTTATGGAAAACCACTATGAATTCTATCAAAAATTACAACTTTGTTCATTTCAATCAATCAGTATTTAATTGTAAATTTCATTGGATCACTATTAGGCTTAAATATGGGTTTTGGATGTGCCTTTGTCTTTTCATTTATTTACCTTCCAATAAGCCTAGAGAGCCAACCTCTGACTCAAAGTTTGTTAACAAACACTGGCTTTTTGCTGAATATATACAATGGCACATCAAAAAGTCTGTAAGTTTACCATGCATTCCAGCATAGGACAAAAATTTAATCCTGAGAATTCTCAAAATATAGCTAAATATAGTAGTATAACTTGTATTATGTCGTCAAGGTTCAACTATCAAATCCATCATTTAAGATTTAGCTGTCATGTGATAGCTAGTACTGACCCGGATGTAAGTGGGTCATCACTAACATATGGTCGAAATACATCTGTCACCATCATCACCATCATCTTCCCATCAGGATTTTTCAATTTAATCTTACTGTTTATCTGTCAGCCTAATAGGACCAGGGGTCTATCGTAAAACAAGTGTTTTGACAAGGGCACATGCCTAATCATTGTTTTCGGGAGGCACAGCGGCAGCCATGTGTCACAAACTCTCAAATGACCTTGTAATTGGACAAGTCTGACCTTGGGGTCAATAATTTGTGGAAAGGAAGATGTCTCTATTGTGTGATGGGTGATGACAGCTAAACTGTGGTCAGACTGGTCAGTTTGTGGTCAAGAGGTTGAGTAATGAGGGATTCACTGCCAATAACAACACAACCTGATCTCAACATACTGTCTGTGTACTTTTGTCTAGGCCAGATGTTGGAAGTTTTCTTACTTGAGTGGAAAGTGTTTATCACAATAATATCACAATTTTTCAACAAAAAGAGAGAGAAAAAAAAGAAAAATTCCAAATTACATTGTTTTGATTTTATTTTGATCCTCTGGTTTGGAAAAAAAGGTGAATAAAAACTTTGGTAAGATAAAGTTCATTTCACTTGAACAAATTGAAATTGGTGTGGATGTTCAATTCTACACAGCCTTTACTACGAAATGGAATTTATTCCAAAATGTTTAGAAATTTAATTTTAAAAATTTGTTCAACCTTCATGCTGGTAGTTAATCTTTGTGAAGCCCTCATGTTGCCTAGAGTTCACATAATTGTAAGATGGATATTACAAGACAAGAAAAACAGGCTGGAGAGTTAATGAAATAATTCCTTGGAAGGCCACAGGTTGTACTGATATTGCCCCTATTTCTAAATTAGATTTAATCAAAATATCTGAATACCATGAATTTCTGTGTTTGAACACAGTCTCCCAGAAGTCACCTTTCCTATTAGGTCTGACATGCTCAGCGTGTATAAACACCCAAGATAATGACAAAGCCTACCAGATATATCCCCTGTGCCTCTACAGCTGGTAGCTTGATTCCTCAAACATTCCTTATATGGTCAAGTGCTTCAAGTCAGATTTCTCGCTGTTAGACTCTTGTTTCAAGGAAGAACTACAGGCCTACTGTATGTGTATTAGTATATAATGAAGACACATGCATCTCACCTGGCTGTTACCCTAAAGGCAGATATGATTCATCTGTACCCAACTAATTTGATACTTGAGATAGACACATGCTTGCATTTATGTTTCAAAATAGACCAACTTTCAGACCTCAGGATGCCAGGATGGCTCACATGGTAGAACATCAGACTTAACAAACCTTGGGTGAAAAACCGAGGTGCATGGTTCAATACCTCCTCTGAGATCATCGACTGTTCAAGATCTCTACCTCATTTTCCTTGGATAGCATGCAGAGGTTTCCCTGCATGTTGTTCAGGGAAATAGCCACCATATACATTAAGTTGACCCCACCTTAAAATGATTCAGGCTGAACCCCAGACAATAGACCCATATACATTAAGTTGACCCCACCTTAAAATGATTCAGGCTGAACCCCAGACAATAGACCCATATACATTAAGTTGACCCCACCTTAAAATGATTCAGGCTGAACCCCAGACAATAGACCCATATACATTAAGTTGACCCCACCTTAAAATGATTCAGGCTGAACCCCAGACAATAGACCCATATACCTGTTCCCAGGTTACACAAGTTTCTTGTCCTATGTTCTTTCTTCAGACAGACTTACACATCATGCCTTTCATGTTCCTGGTTGACCAAAATGTGGCTATCATGTTGGTGAC